GATTAATATGATAGACGATGTATTTATATAATGTTGTGATAAATTTAATTTCTATTAGTAAGAGTTATTATACAAAAAATATTTATTASTATATTAGAGTATATTATGTAAAAATCAAATAAAGTTATTAAATATGCAAGTCGAAATAGACTATAAATATTACTATGCATGCATTCATACAAAATTATACTCATATCATAATTATGTTTACATGTCATTATGGAAATGCCGACGGCAAAACGCAAAACTATACATATTTGCATACATTGCGAAAGCAAGCATTGAAGCATGGAAATATCACAATGCTGTTGGGAGTATTATAAGGAGCATGCATACATACATTTATGTCTCTTCATATTCTTGAGTATGTGAGAGAGCTGTATTTGTACACATTTTTCGCTGTTTTTTTGAACTGTGCATTTTCAAAGTGTTTAATTTAGTGTTTTGTATAATTTATTTAATACCTGATCTAATATTTTTCAGCAGTGGCATCATTGGCAAATGTTATAAAAAATGCGAGTGTTTGCGAGTATCATATTATCCAGGCATAATGGGATGCCCAAGTGCGAGAGCGCCTCAAAATAAGCGTTTTTTATAACATTTTCCATTATGGACAGATCGCACCAAATAAGAATTTTTAGACATTTTAAATTAAAAAACCCAACATTTATTACGATTGCAAATTATTATATATTGGACTTTTAATATATGGCGAAACTATTTAATTCCTTTTTATGATTTTATGGTATATTAAAACAACTGACTTTCGATATTTCCATACTTAATAAGGTGAATTAAGCCTGTTAGTTCTAAATTAATAAATGCTTTTAATCATTTGTAATAGAAAATTAATTCTATTATGCATCAAATTACAAAACGTTTCACAATATATATTTAAATTTCGCATTTTCTTTGATTTTCATTATTTTAAATTTTTATGAGCGATCTTGAACGGCGGCAATAAATTCCTCCGTTCGCATATATTTTCGGTATAACTTCAAAATTTCAATCTGGGCGTTCCAGTCATTCCAATTGCAAAACGTCAAAACCTATTCAATCCAGTCAACTGTCAAAGTATGGTAGGTTTTGGCGTTTAGCAATTGGTGTTGGTAGGAGTTGGGGATCTCATTATCTCTGATATTATCCATGACAAAATTACGAAATAGAAATGCCATTTCGGATCTTAGCAGCTATGCGCTAAAACTCTTAAAAAAATGAGTGCTTTCTAACTAGTCTAATGTCAATATTTCCTAAGCGACCAAACCTACAGCAACTAAACTTACCGAGCAGAAATATTAAACTAAGCAATTGCAGTAACTATAACAATATTTATATTTTAATAATGTGGACGTAATCTTTCCAACAGTTCCTTATGATCGCGGCGCCAAAAAAATAGGAATTCAGCCTCAATATAAAAGGTCAAAACTTCTTTGCTGATTAAAAACTGACTTTTACAGGGTATTAAAGGATTTACTATGACCACAATATCTTTTAATATATTTCGGTTGGTGATTTAAATTGATTGTGCAACCTTCTAATAATGTCTTCAAATAAAGAGTGGAACAAATATGTATATGAGCTAACATATTCCGAAATTTAATTGCATATTAAAATTCCAGCAACTTTTAAACATTTTTAAACTTTACTCAGTTTTGTGCTACTTATTTCGTTTTCGTATTCATAATTTGGAATTTTGGTAAGTATTGTGAACTTATGTGTACATTCACAACTCGCCGTGATTGGCATATTCAATACTACATCTGCTAATGCTAACATAAGTATGTTAATCGAATTTTCACGTATTGAGATAGTTTTGCTTTTAGTAATACTACTTACTATGTATATATCCTTATAACCACAAAGAAAATCTCTCGTAAATTACATACTATGTACATTAAATAAAATATTGCAGATGAATAATTGGGAATAGCATCTCACGATTTCAAAGTTAAAATGTGTAGGTGAATTTAGAATAACATCCCCCCATTTCGGAGTTAAAATGGATATGTACGGACAGAGAAGGTTCTTCAGGTTAGCAAAATATATAGTATACAGTGGGCGACAAAGGTCTACGTACTACGACAATTTCGGCTATCTGACATGTCCAAAAGCATTATGAAAAAAAAGTAAAGATGCAATTTTGTTTTAATACATTACAAAAATTGGCCACGATTTTGAAAATCATCCCCCGATTTCGGGGTTAGGGTAAAATTTACAATAGCATCCCCGGATATCAGGGATAAAATGGGTGTTACTGGAAAGTGGACGTTCTCCAGATCACGAAAATATGTACAGTGACACACAAAAGTATTCGGAAAAATATTTTTCCGAAATAAGAGTATCAGCATTTTCTTTC